TCCCACATTATATTTCACAGTCAAGCTGCAAATATTTGGACTTTGTAGGTCATCTGGTATAACAGTATTTGTTTATCGTTATTCTACCATGTAAAACTGCAACAAATACCACCCTTAGCTCCAAGCTACTAGAAAGGAGGAAGCAGAGGGAAATGCACACCAGATTGTGGTATGGATTTTGCATGCATTTACTAATTTCCCAAGCCCAGTAATGTTACCTCAAATGATATTATCTCTAGATCACTTCACTGGATTGTGGTAGTTTGACTAAGAATGGCCTCCAAAGACTCATAAATTTGAATGCTTAGTCACCAATATGTGACACAATTAAAGAATTAAAAGGATTGGGAGGTGATTGTTGAGGTAGGTGAGGCCTTGTTGGCGGAAGTGTGCCACTGGGGATGGGTTCTGAGGTTTCAAGAGCACAAGCCAGACCTAGTAGCTCTCTTCTTGCTGTTTATGGATCTGGATGTAGAACTCTTCTCAGCTATCATGTCTGCCTGTATGCTGCCATGCTCCCCACATTTCTTTTATAAAAATTGGAATGGTCACAAATCGTGGAATTATTAAGCTACACAAAATAGGGATGTCATATGATATTTTATTGAGGGAGAAATCACTTACGTGAGAAGCCATCTCCGGGGCACAACCAGAATCCAAACAGACAGCATCTCCTTCCTCTCAGCTCTTTTAACCCCAATACGTGCTATGTACCCGTGACCATGCCTAAAGCTACGTGTACATAATGTTTCTCCCCACAGTCACAATGTATCTTCACCAACTAAGACATGGATCTGACAGCGTTATTTGATAAATACATGTAAGATATGGCTCACATTCTCCTCAATGCCCAATACCTCTTCAATTTCTTGCCAAATTACAAAAGAACCTCATGGTTCAATCTTGAATTCTTTTCCCAATCTGTTCCCACCCCTTTGTATTCTTACCCAGTCTCAATTGCTCTTCTACCTTATCAAGATATTTTAAAAATAGACTCTTCTTTCTCACACTCCATTTTGTCATTTTAGTCTCTTCTTATACTCATTCTATCTATATACACTATCTACTACTATAAAGTGAGGCATTTTGCTTATGATGCCACCATAAATTATAAGTGGATTGCAATTTATTTTCTTCTTTATTGGTAAATCTCCCAGATTATCTCCATCTGTGGAAATATTATCAAGGAAAGAAAATATATGCATAAATGCTGAATTGAAACATAACAATGACATTGCAGGGCCGGCCATATAATTAATTATAATTAACGTGTACAAACCAAATAAAGGCAAACTATTATATGAGAAGTCAACCAAAGCAGTTAGACTTTCTATTACCTGAGTGGAGTTAGAGAGTTGGTTTTTCCACGGCTCCTCTGTGCTGCTGGTCAGGTTTGTGCGGTTATGAGGTAGAGTGGGTGCGTTTCGCTGCAGGTAAGGCACGTTTCCATTACTTCCACTTCCTGTTACGTGATTATTGCCTATGGAAATAGTGTCTGTACTTCCTGGTGTTCTTGATGTGCTACAGGGAACATGGCCTGCAGAAAAGGGTCCATTGGCCAAAGCCTGTCCGGGACAGGCAGGGCGGACTCCAGGTTGAGAGACGCTAGGCATTCTGGTCAGAGCAAGCTGTGACTGCTGGCCAGAGACTGAGTTTGTAGGCAGTGATGAGTCAACTGTTGGCCCATTAGGAATTCCAGTAGGTCGTACCTGCGCAACTCCTGTTTGTCTCATCTGCAGGTAACAAATGAAAAGCAAATAAATGTAATCTGTACAGTCCACAGGAGAGACTCAGAATGTAAAAATAAACAATAATGGGCTCTGATCTGACCAACATTTCATTTCTCTAGGTCAAAAACTATCAACTTCAAAAACAAAACAAAAGCCTGTTTATTTATATGCAAGCTGTCCAGGAAAAGCAGAAGTAAGTTTCATGTTAGGGAAACATCTTGTTAGTAATGACATAAAAAAAAGGCAGCTGAAACCTATGGAAAACTCAAGAATTCATAATTCTTCAAGGAACATCATGTTTTTATACTGAGTCGAGTGGTGCAAGCCTGTAATCCCACGTATTGAGACTGAGGCAAAAAGGATCTAAACTTCAACATCAACTTAGTTAGACCTTGTCTGTGTGTGTTGGGTGGGGGTTGTGGTTGCTGTTGGGATGGAGGGCAAGGCAGGGCAGGGTTACAGCTTAGCAACAGTGTTAGCTCCTGTAACATTTACAAGTCCCTGAGTAAATAATTAATAATAATGACAGAAAAATTTAATGAAAAAGTTGGAGACATATAAAACCTTAACTAGGTTTAGTATAGCTACAAAACTACAAATGAAATACCATGGAATTAAGTAACAACAACAACAACAAAATGCTTAAAATAAAGCATTAGCTGTTCGTTTCTTAAAAACTCCACTTCCTGGTATTTTAATTAGCACAGATCACAAAATTCTACCATATAAGCAGACATGAGTATGGGTGAGTTCTAAAACGATGCTACAGTCAACAATAAGTACACAAAATTATATCAAATTTTAGAGGAAAGTGCTATACATACTTGGTGTTGCTGCATTAAGACAAACTGACTTTCTAGCTGTTCCAGCATTAGTTTCTGTGCTGGATTTAAGTTATTTCTATTTGTACGGAGCTGTTCCAAATGCTAGAGAAAAAAAGGGAGAATATAATTGAAGACATATCTAAAAAAAAAAAGATAAGAAAGCTAACAAATCTGCGAAACCTTTATCTGAAACAATTAGAAAAACTCAGAACCACTATCAGGTTAGACACTGATTTCTGATCAACAACAATCTTTAGGTCTTTTAAAAAGTTTAAGAAGCAAAAGGAAGAACTAAGTATTCATCCAAACATGGCTTATTATGATGTGATTTTTGGGAGAGAGGGGCATGAAATTGTACTAATACAGCAATTTTCCATGTTGATACAGAAATGCTTCAAGCTTAAATTGATTGGAACAGGAAAAGTTTGAAGACACAATGAAAATCTAAAATTAATGATCAACTTAGACAATAGTATGGTATATATAAAGAAATATCATCTGTTCATATAGCAAGTAGGCTATATATTGATTTGAGGTCTATAAAGGACAGTAATAGAGGTGGCATCTTTTAAGATCCCCTAGTGGATTTCTAAAAAACAAGAAAAGCTAAATTTACAATTTAATCCCTTTTCAGTCCTAACATGATATTATGGCGATAGCTTGGGAGGCATTAGGCTTGATGGTAAAACTAGTATTAATGTCTCTTCATTCACAACTTCAGGTAAGAATGTAACCCTTCCATTGACCTTAGTACCCTCAGCATATGATCTTCTTTCTGTATTTTCTCTTAGTAAGTAAAAAAAACTTTACCTGTTCACTTAGAGGAAGCACTGTGCAGCTTCTCTTTGGTATTCTGCACATGTTGGTATCATTATTCTTGTGGTTTGTGGTCATACTAAAACAGTTGTTTTGATAAATGAGATGGCTACTAAGTGATTAATGTAACAGTCTGAACACATTGGAAAACGAGATGATTGATGTCACTGGTAGTATAGAGTGGGATTTCATTATATCACTAGGGTGTTATAATTTAAAAATTTATCAGGGGTTTATTTCTGAAAATTTTCATTGGACCATGAGTGACCATACTTAAGTTAAATAACTTGGACATACATAATACATCTCTGCAAAAACAGGTAAGAAACAAGATCAGAGAATTATTGCAGGGGAGGGGATCAGTAAGTTAGAATAGAAGCTGAAAGAAGATTTTATCCTATGTAATCTATGTTGATACTTTATACATATGAATACATTGGCTTATCCAAAAAGAGAAGCAAATGGGGAACAAAACAGAATTATCTTCATTATTCTGGTAAATGTTGTGTCCTCAGTTTCCTATCATTCAACTTTGAGAATTACTAACAGTTCACGATTTGTGTTACATAATTTTTCTTTACAACATATTTAACATACCTGTAATTTCTGTGGTGTCAAACACCATGAATGAGTTTGTTGCTGTACTGGAGGATGTGGCACAGCATGGCCACCACTCCAATTATCAGAAGTATTCTGAGGAAAATTGATAAAAAGAAACATTAAAGAATATTTGGTTAAGGAATAGACTAACAATAACTAAGGACTAACGAAGGCTAAATGACTATGAAGTAGAATATTTACATATGAAAAGATATTAAATTCATTAAAAATAATTTATATGCACATTAAACTTGATATTAATTTTTCTTAAAATGCTGATTATGTAATAAGCCACCCCAAAAAAAAAGCCCACCCATAAACTATGGCCCAAATGACTAGCCTATAATACCACACTATCCACTAGGCTTCAATGTTGGTAAAAAGTGATGATGAAAAGTGTGCTGATACCTTAACGGCAGGGAAATGGATAAAATGATTTGATGAATGCAAATCTATCCCTATTTTATTTAATATGATTGTTAAGAGTTTGGGAAGGGAAAACTCAAACCTTTTATTCTTCTGATGTCCACAGATTTAAAGTAAAGGACAGGAAATGTTCAAACTGCACAATTAGAGGGCAGTTGGAGCTCCCTTTTTTTGACTGGGATTTTCTATTTCTCTAGGACATATACCTTTGTTGGACTAGATGTTCTTTTCCTCTTGGCAGGACTGGACAGGTCATCTACTTGGCTAGGAGGAATCATGTGTAGTGGAATAGACTGCTGTGAAACTGGTGTTTGACTGAGGCCTAACACAGGTTCAGTATTTGGATGATGAGGTTTACATGCCTAAGAATCACAGAAGGAAGACAAAAATAGGGTGCTATATATTCTTACTTCATTCCTTCAAATTATAAAATTATACAAGCTGTATACTTTTCAAAATTATGTGGACATCTCTGCAATTATTTAAAGTCAAAAATCAATGAATCATCATCAATGGAGTAATGTGTACCTTCCTTTGAAAATCTTCTTTGAAAAATGAAATAAACCACTGCAACATTATTTAAGAAATCTTGCAAAATCATGAAAATGCATAAAGGTTCTAAGTTGGTGACCCCAGATTTTTATTCCCGTACCAGAGGGACTTTTATTTTATCTAAATTCCCTTAGCACTTCAATGAAAAGGCTATTTATTATTCATTTTAAAAAAGCCTGCTATGCTTACTTAAAATAAGCTTGAATACTACAGATTGTAAAGAACCCTTAAAGCTGGGCACCTGCAGAACATAACCCAACTTCTCACCTGCTGTGCTGTGTTCATGGCACCCTGCCTGGAGGTAAGCTCTGCGGGGATTGGTAGGCTCCATGCCTCCTCAATACTAGGAAGTAATTTAGTTTTATTCTGTAGACTACCTTGTGGAAGGTTACACAACTGAGCCTAGGAAAAATTATGTAAAAAGCAAATTTAACACAAGCCTACTTGAGTAAGAGTTAAGTCCACTAAATCTTTCTAAGTGCTATTTTTTTTTTTTTTTAAAGAAAATAGATTCTAAATTTGGGGCCTTAGAAAGATACTAAGTATAAGGAGGGTAACCAGAATATAAACCTTTGTGAGAATTAAAACATAACTAGGCTGTTTCCAGGGTCCTCATTAGCTGTCTTCTCGTGAAACTTGAAGCAAGAGTGAAAGACAGTGTTTGTGTTCTTTTCCTTAAAATGCTATGACAACTTAAAAATGTAGACAGTACACTGAAAAAAACTTACACAAATTAACATGCATCAAAGTGCAAAAGAGCATTTAAAAATATTGCTTATCTCACTTAAAATGAAAAGTAAGACAATATTATAAAGCTATGGTATGTTTACAAAATATGGAAACAGATTATAGACATCCAAAGACAACTAGACAAAATTTCCAGCCACCCTATTCCTGCCTGAATGTTCTGGGGGAAAATGGGGCTTTAAAAAAAATCGCTATTTAAAAATTTTACCTGTAAATATTTAATCCGTGCTGCAAGCGCAGAGGTATTACTACAATTTTTGCTTCTAGATGCATTTAAATAGCATTTAATAGCATCCTGAGGCTGGTTGCAGGATTCATAGAGAGTGCCTAGATCCATCCAAGCTGCAGCATGGCCATGGTCCAATTGTACAGCACATATATAGGCCTGTAAAGCATCCATAGGCTGATTTTGCTGTTGATAGAGCACACTAAAAAGAGAAATGAAGGAAAAGTAAGTTAACTAAGAATAACTGGTTGTATAGCATGATTTTTATTACAAAGTAAATTACATGACGAAACCATCTTTTATGCCAATATTAATTTTAGACAAAGTCTTACCCTATTGAACACCATGTATCTGCGCTTGCTTCTGATTTATCAATAGACTGCCTGTAAGATATAAACGCATCCTGAACTTTCCCAATACTTGAATAGCACCTGAGAAGAAGAGGGAAGGGGGGTTAAGAAAATTCCATCAACACCAAAACAAATTATATTTATTTGCTTAAAAAGGGTTATACATCAAAGCAAAAACTCTTAAAAATATATTATGCTAACAGCTAGGTACATGGGTATATATACTGAAGGCAATTGCAATATATGACAATTAGAAAATCAAAATTGTATTATAGTCTTTCTTAAGTGTGCTAAAGTATACTGTAATGATTCAATCTATTAAAATAAGTATAAGCCATACCACTTCCAAGATTACAATACTGAAGAGTTGAACAAAGATCCTTCACATTCTGCTTTTTTATCTTGACCTCCAGTTTTACAGACAGAATAGAGTTCAAGACCCCAAAACCACATGTTTTTAGTAAGAGCTAATGAATTTCTCTTTTCTTAAATAATAAAAGGCAAATACTCTTTTATTTATAAAAATGCTAATGTAATAATGGTTAGTCTGTAAGTATCATTAACAAGTGAAAGTGTGACCTGAGGTCTGCTACGTATCAAATGCTAGCACTCATGAGGAATGGCACACAAGCAGTTCACTGAAAACAGTAGTGTGTGATAGGACCTTTTTAAAAAACTAGCAACAATTCAGGTTAAATGAAAAATTAAAATAGGAAATGTCTTCTAAAGAAGACAGGCTATGAGAAAAATATTATAGTTAAAAGCTTTCTTCTATCATTTACCTTTGAGGAATCTTTATTATAATGTATTAAAAAGAGGAAATATAATGTTCAAGGTATAAATGTATGCTAACATTTGAGGTTGTAATTAAAATCTCTTAGCTATAACTATCAACAGCAAAATCTAATTCTCTGGTTAAATTTTACCTTCCAAGGAAATACCAGGACTGGCCAGAATTTGGATCTGCTTCCAATGATTTCTGGAGATACTGAATAGCAAAACTTTCCTTGGTGGCTTTATCTCCCAGGAGATCCACAGTGTGATGCATCCAACCTTTAAGACATTAACATACTTTCATTTTTAAGAATATGAAGCAGAAAATTAACAAAAATAACCTTTTCCATCAATGTATTATTGATCTACTTCAGAAAACACATTGTGGTATTTTAGAACTACTAATTCTTGCAATAAGAAAGTCTTTCTCGTACGAAGGTAATGCCTAAGAGATGAACAGCTTTTAAAAGAAATTAAAAGTTTAAAAATAATCACTTAACACATAGTAATTAAATTCTAGATAAATCCACAAATCTACCATTAATTGAAAATGTCCACTCTAAATGTATACATTATCGATCAAAATAATAAATAACAAGACTGTATTATCTACTAATACAAAGAACATGGGAATATAATACATACTATTCCACATAAAAATTAAGTATAAAGAGTGTCCAAAACATTCTATTGGTTCTATATTTACTTCCAAGGAATAAATATGAAAGTGCATAACTAATGACAGTTCTGATTAAGATGCATGCACAATCCCACCTCCCTGGCAAAAAAAAACAAATTCACTTAATTTTGAAAAACAGAACTATATGAAAACTGTATCCAAATACTTACTACCACAAAATACCTAATAAACTTTTCTAAAGAATGTGATCAGGGGACTGGAGATGGCTCAGCTGTTAAGAGTACTAGATGTTGTTTTGGAGATAGTTCCATGGGATGTGTACCCACAACTGTTTAGTGGAGTCTTGTGTCTGTAAGACTGGTTTCATCTGTGAGGCTGTTTGATCTGGAAATACCTATAAAACGGAATGTGCATATACCACTGTAGCCAGCACTTCCTTTCCTTGGGATCTGCCCCAGTAGAGGCCTCACAAGCGTGCACAGAGAGACTTTGTGTGTGAAGGTGCACACCACAGCACCATTTATGAGGCAAAGAACTGAGGGCAGCACTCCCCCTCCCCCCACATTGTTTTCTGGGAGGCTGCTTAGCTGAGCTGTGGTACTTCACCTCTAGAGGCATTTTTCAAAGCAGACTTTTGAAGCACACATAGATCAATGTTAACATGTTTGATTCTGCTGGTGGGTATATGTATGTCTGTTACATAAATGAATACCCCTCAGTATTTATGAGGAGCTCAGGTGAAAAGTGAACACAGAAAGTTTGAAAAAATAAAAGAGTACTAGATGTTTGTTTAAGAGAACCTGGGTTTAATTCCCAGCTTCTATAAACTAATTCCAGGGATGAGATGATTGCTGGGTTGTTTTTTTTTTTGTTTTGTTTCGTTTTTTGGGGGGGTTGTTTTTTAACCTAGGCTAGGTGAACTCAGAGATCTGTCTGCCTCCCAAATGCTGGGATTCAAGGTATGTAAGCTCAGCCTGATGACATCATCAGAACTTGGAAGGAAACATATCATACGTACACAGACATAGATATAAGGAAAACGACCATACACATAAATTATAAAATTAAAAAAAGAAAGAATTTAAGTAGCTAACCAAGCAAAAACGACACCATAGACTACTATATTCTAAATCTTTGAAATGCATAATATCAATTGAAGCTTGCCAGTAGAGCACATTTCAATCACTCTATAAAATTAGTTTTGTTCTTTGTAGTCTATAGCACATGAACCAATGACATTTGAAATTTAACCAAATATATTTTACATTAAAACCAATCTCTCCCTCCCTCCCTTCCTCCTTTTCTCTCTCTCTCTCTCACACACACATACACACAGGCCAGGGCTTCTCTGTATAGCTTTGGAGTCTATCCTGGCACTCACTCTGTAGACCAGGCTGGTCTTGAACTAACAGAGATCTACCTGGTGCTGCCTCCCAGGAGTGCTGGGATTAAAGGCTTGAGTCACCATGCCCGGCCTCCAATCTATTTCTTACATTTAAACAATTAACTGATAAATAATTTTGAAGGCACCACACTTGGTTTTCTCTTACCTAAAAACCCAAAACATTTTCATTGTACTAGCAACATATTTAAATCTAAAAGTAAAAATTCACATTACTCAAACACTAAGTATTTTGATATGCTTATAATTCTTAAAAATATAGACAGTTTCAATAAAATTCTAATAGCTAACAGGTAAAACCAAAGGTTTCATACGAATGTTTGGTGGTTTGAATGAAATGAGCCCTAGAGTCTTGGGCACTTAAATATCTGGCCCGCAGTATATGACACTGTTTGGATAGGATTAGGAGGTATGGTTTCCTTGTAGGAAGTAGGCTTGAGTTTTCAAAAGCTCCCTGTGATCATTCTCAGTTAATGCTCTTGCTCTCTGTCCCCCCCTCCCCTACCTGCCCCTTCTGATTTTGGTTTATGTTTGGAGATGTGCGCTTTCAGTTATTCCTCCCAACACACATGCCTGCTTCCATGTTTCCCTGCCATGACATGATAGATTCTTATCCTTCTGGTGACATAAGACCAAAATAAATCCTCCTTTATACAAGTTGCTTTGTATAAAGTAACAAAAGTAACTAATACAGCAGGCAAAGTATTCATTATGTATAGTCAATAACAATAGATCTGTTCAACTGACTTAAAATTACACACACACAAAAAAATACTACACACGCACACGCGCACACACGCACCCGGCAGCATTAGTTAGACGAAGATGGTAAAAGCTTGACAGACGGTTCCAATTTTTATCAACTCTGCAAAATATACAGGAAAACACATTAAGACACACAAGTACTTACCTAATTGTTGTAAGACAGTTGCTTTTACTTGTGCAGAAAGGTTTTCTGCCTGCAAAAGTTGCTCATAAGCTTCTTTTGCAGAATGATACTTCCTCTAAAAAACAGAAAAAGAAATTTAGAGAAAAATAAAACCAATAATATTTAAAGAACTATATAATATTTATTCTTCTTTGGCACATTTTAAAAACCTAGATGAAAGTAAAAAGTACTGATTTGATTACTGAATATTTCTTTTTAACACTAAACAGGTTAAAAAAGGAATGTTCCATGTACCTAATGCTAGTAATAATACCCACTATAACAAAGTATCATTAAAATGTGACCTTTTAAGTATTTGCTAATAGCTAAAACCATCTCAAATTATTTAATAATGAAAATCATCTCAAATATACTTAAAAACATTAACACAACCAGAGTAGTCTCTTTCTAGTGTAAAATCTGTCTGCTTAGAAACAAGCTTCCAAGAAACTTGATAGTGTAGAACACATGCAAAAAAGAATGCTATAATAAAATCACAGGCACAAATGTAATTAGAACATAAGTTATAAACATATACTTTCCAGAATATGAAATCTTACGCAAATATAACACCTACAATTTCAAATATATCACAACACCCATAAATATAGTATAATAATGCTTACAGTATTTTCAAGTTCCATAGGCAAACCTCTAAATGCAACAATTTACCCACAACACTTTCCTCAAAGTTTCAACATGACTAAAAGCTATTATCACAACAAAGTTTAAAGCTACACTTTCAAAACAAGAGGAAAGGCTAAAAATGAAAAGCTTGCAAACAGTGCATTTAAATTATACTTTGTAGAACAATAGGTTGCAGTGGCTTTTATTTTTATTACTATGCTACCATTTAACTGCCTGAGTGAAATAAATCTTAAAAACAATAGAGAAAAATACAAAACTGGCTAGCAAATCACTTACACTATGATCTAACATCTACAAATTAATATAAAAGGTAATGTCTAATTTTTCTATCTACAGAATCATTCTAAGAATCAAATGAATTTAATAAACAGCATTGAAAACAACTAAGGAACTACACTATATATAAAACACATTATTTCAAAATTGAGGGAACATTTTAGACAACTGCAGGGTAAGATTATCGGCACTTATTAACCAAACTTCTATTTATTTAATCTTCAAAGGTTGAGTAGGCAGTTACTGAAGTATATTGAATCTAATTGCTTCAGTAAAAAAGTACTCGTTGAACATCTAATACGTAATGGAAATGTTTGGGACTACAATGTAGCTTGAAGACTGAAGACAGAAAAACAAAAAATAGTGATAGCATGTTTTGGAGAAAAATGTACAAATGGTTAGAATACTAGAACTCTGATCATTTGCCTGCGTTATAATAATATAATGGAGACAATGAGCTATTTCAACAAATACAATCAGATTTATACCTTAGAAAGATTATACCTTGTGAACTATCTCAATGCTACTACACACCCAAAAACTAGAAATACAAAACAATGACATACTCAAAAATATATTTGCACCACAACAAGAAACAACGTTGGCTTTTTGCCTCATATTACATACAAAACAATGAGAACTGCATTAAGTGAATTCAGTGAACATGACAAAACAGCACAAATTACCTAGACTGCACTGTGATATCGTTTCTCAAAACAATAAAACTTTAAATTTAAAATAAGTTGGAGAGATGGTTGAGTGTTTATTGCTGTTGAAGAGGACGGGGATTCCATTCATAGCATCCACATCAGATGGAACAGCCTATAAATCCAAGGGCACCTGAACACATACATGTGCACACAACTCAGATAGGCAAGCAGGCAAACGTATTAACAAGGGACGCACACTTACACATGTGGTGATATTTTGTTTATGGTCTAACAAATAATGCTTGCCTAAAGATCAGAGTACAAAACTAGCCACACTAGTCAGCCTTAGAAGTCAGGCACTAGGGAGTCAAAGGTAGACGATATCTGTGAGTTCAAGACTGGGCCTTGAACTCAATCGATCCAGTCTAAAAGAGAAACAGAGCTCACACAAAGATGATTTCAGTACTTGGGCTCCCACGCCTTTAATCCCAGCACTAGAGAGGAATATAAGGGAGGAAGAGGCAGGCACTCAAGGAGTCTGAGAACAGTGCAGCCAGTCAGGGGCAGTCTGAGGTTCCGGGGATCAGCCTGAGCATTCCTAGCGGTTGGCTGCTTTGCTTCTCTGATCTTCAGCATTAACCCCAATATCTTGACTCTAAGTTTTTATTAAGGCCAAAGAGAATCCGTGTTACCTATACAAACACCACACTTACACACCCACACATAAAGAGGGCAAAGATGAGAAATATGGGTTCTAAACAACAACAACAAAATCAACATATAAAAGATTAAATAAAGTCTCTTAATAAAAATTAGGTAAACATAGCTTAAAAAGGAAAAAGCACATTTGGGAGGGGGTTGTTTGGTGCTTAAAGGAAGGGTTTCCCTGTGTAAGCTCTGGCTGTCCTGGCACTCACTCTGTAGACTGGCATGGCCTCAAACTCACAGGGATAAACATGATTTGCCTCTCCAATGCTGGGATTAAAGGCATGAGTCATTGCTGTCTGGCCTTAAACACAAATTAGTTGGAGATGAAACAAAATGCTACTTGACACACACACAGTGACTGATAGTATCATTTAAAAACTTGTATACCCGCTGATGAAGCAAGTAAACGAGTATAAATGCATAACATAATGCATTAAGTGAACTGAATACAATTAATTTCATTAGTGCATGATATATACATGACACCGTATATTTCTTTTTGATTTGGGTGAGATTAAAGCACTTACCTGAGTTTCATATAAGTGGGCAATGTGAAACTGAACTGCAAAGGACGATAGAAAACAAAACCCAGTCAGTAACAATACAGAAAACTTTGGAGAAAATTAGGAAAGGATAACAAAACAGAAAATAAGCAAGCATGGCTTATATTACAGTTTTAAGGATAGGAACATAACATTTATTTGATTTTAATAAAAAATATACAATCATACTGAAGAAACAGAATAAACTATATGTAGCCACTGTTGGTCATCATGAAAGTAAAAATCGCTAACTATTATTAGTATAATAGTTATAGCAAGTAAGTATACATAAGTCAACAATACATAAATTAAAACTTACATTTCAGGGTTATATTACACAGAAACAACACTTATTAAAGTTATAGACCAGTATATGGTAGTAACAAGGGGGTTGACGGGTTAATTTTTTTAAGTCCTTCAGAGTTAGATTGCATCATAAACAAAAATGTTGAAAAGAAGAGGAAAATCGCTTGGCTTTTATTTTCCCATCTTCCTGATACACGTGCCTGAGTGCGTGCGTGCGTGCGTGCGTGCGTGCGTGCGTGTGTTTACCTGGATTTCAAGGACTCTTGAGAGTTTATGTAACTCTGTAAAAATAAGGTCCAAAGATGTCATTAAGTGTTGAGGGAGGCTTGTTATCAATGTAGACTTTTGAATTTACAACTCTGACACTATGGGCAAAGTTTGAAAGGCTGCCTTTTTATTCATTTCTGTGGGTGATTCTTGATGCCTCAACACTAGGTGAACAATGTCATACAAGCAAGGTAAGAGAACAAAGCAAAACATATAGAGAATTTTCAAATAATGTGGGGTGATAGTTTTATTATATTATGTTAAACATCAGATATGTGAAAATTAAAATATATTTAGAAAATGAAAAACACAAAAGTAATAAATTATAAGTTAAACAGAAGGGAATGAAGAGTTTTTGACCATTCTTCACTATCTACTCTTGTAGAGAATTCCAGTTGTCAATTTCCTTATTGTGTTGAAACTTCTTACCAGGAACATTTTTTTTCTATACTGTTGTCTAAAACATCAACAGCTAATTGGCGTTATATACTACCATTCTAAACTAGGTATTACAAAAGTAATACCAGAAAGAAACTATTTTATCCCAAGACAATCTTACAATGAAAAGTCTCATATCACTATGACTCTGCTTTTCAAATGATAAACTGCAACTTACACTTCTTAAATAAATACTGCTTGACGCATTTCTCCTAGAGAAACTGTTTTCAAAGCTCACTTTACTTATTTATAACTTAGACTTCTTTTGTGGAGGGGTGAGTATGCTCCATGACAGAGCTACCACTGCAGCTTGCTCAAGCTGTCAATCCGTATTATATTAAAAATTCTACAATTTCTCACTAATCTAAAACCCTGAAGCTACTTTTCACTAACACATTTCTATACTGCTGTCTAAACAAAAGAAGATTGGGGTGTGGGTGCTAGACGTGCTCAACTCTTTGCTTTCTCTGCACAGAATGTTTAACTGTTCTCTTTCCACTTCTCCCTTAACAAGGAAAGAATACTAAGGAGGAAGAGATGGGGCAAGATAAAGAAAAGGAGAACCCCAAATCCACTGAATAACTTGAAATTTTCATGCAGTGTTAGTTTTATTTTTCAAAAATTTAAAAATCTACATCAAAATAAAAATAACTCTTCAATTATCTATTAGTTACTTTAAGGTATACTGCATGAATACATTAGAACATATACAGTGATAAACATATCAGCCCATCAGCTCCTAGAAAGAAATTTATACAAAAACAGAAAACCACCGGATCAAAACACACATCACAACATCATTCTTCTTTAATTAACTGAAAAATGTCACCTCAAACTTTGTGCATGACGTATCAAACTACAATAATGTCAAAGTATTTTTAATAATTTTAACGTCACATATCATAGTGAGCTCCCACATTAATTTTTGCATATCTGCTAAATGACTGGCAAACACTATTTGTAATCCATTTAAATCATTTTTTAAAATCAACCTTATTCATCAGACCATTTCACTACCTATCTGTTTCAGACAAACTGGTGACAATTCTATATGTACAAGTAGCCGTAGCAGACAATAGTTACACTCAATAATTCTAGAAGAAATAAAGCGCCCAGCATTTGTTAACATGATAGTAAGTACTGTCATCAATTTTAACAAACTGATCTTTACAGATATATCGATAAGTATTTAATACTTACTTTCAGCATTGGACAAAGTGCAGGGATTACAGTCAACCAGAGCTAACTGAAAATGCTGCAAACAAAGGAAAGAAGAAAGTCAATGCATAAAAAACATTTATCCTATGAATAGATCTTAAAATATTTTTCAAGTATGTTCCAAAAATAGTGAATGAGAATTACTTTGGCCATTTACTGCTCGCTCATAACTGAGATATGTTTACTACTGGGTATTGTCTTGAAACAGGTCAGAGTAGATAACTGGAAGAATCAATCTCATCAAGTTACCCTATGTATCATTTTATTTATGAAAAGGCTTTAGATTTTAAGTATCTAAGTAAATAGGGAGTGTTATTAAGCAATTTAAATACAACATATATTTTATTAATTTCTTTTTTGGAAAAATTCTGGGGAAGCAAACCTAGAGTCTCCTGAGTGCCAGGCAAGCACCCAATCAACTGACTTCCATCTCCACCTCTGTATCGCCATTTTTAAGAATGTTAAGTCCAAGCAAGTCTAATAGTACTTACTGTCCAGGCACTTTTTATCTCGAAGTGAAACAAACTTTTGCAAGCAAAACTTTCATTATAGAAACTGTCATGAAGGATAAAACTACCTGCCTTCACTGATTCTTCAAGTAACTGTACTTAGGTGCCTTATAATTAGCCCATATTCAAATATAAAATATGATTTTTCCTTTAAAATGTATACATACAATTTGCTTAATTTCTCAGGCAACATTAAACGTACTACAAGCATATATAAAATACATGCTAACATCAGCACTTAAAATAAATTTTTTAAAATTTAAGAACACTTAGTGACATACCTAGTTTAGCAAAAATTATATTGAACATACAAACAAATTTGAAAAAGATAAGCAAGTATTATAGAGTTGGTATAAATTTAAAGTTAAATAAACAAAAAATCTCTACAATACTCTGAAAACATTACACAAATATATAAATATATATTCTAATTTTCCAGACTTCCACAAAACTTTTTAAAGTAATAAAAAATCATAAATCATTTTTAAAAACATAACCAACTTTAATAGACATATTTTATTTATACTCAAACAATCTATAATAATTACTTTTCGTGGTGGCAATTATTATATGTAAGCACTAAGAGAACTAACTTTCATCAAGAGAAATTCTATCAACAAGTATTAAGTATTGGATTTCAACATGAAAACAACAAAACTGCACTTGATGAGTTTGATCCCCTCAAGTAATAAGAATAAACTGTCAGTTACCTATCACTATATGGAAAGTGAGAAAAGTAATTTGATTAAGAGTAGCTTAAATGTACAATCACAAATGTCTATTACATACATGGAAACTCAAGCTAGCCTCTGCATTTGTAGCTTTCTTAAATCTTAGGGCTTGTAGTAATTTCTGAATGGCTAAACTAAAAGAGAACTAACTACAAAAGCAAGTTCAACATCTGATACTTCAAAGACTGCTTGGCCTTTCTTTGGTCTAGCAAACAGATTTTTATGTCTTCACCATCCCTTTAGTATACCTCCACAGCAATGGAAAATAGCCGATTTTAAGAAGCACCAGTAGCCTGAGAGTAAAGCAGCCTTTCCTCTAGACAGAAAGAGAAGCAGGCAGAGCAATCACACTTTCAGTATGCACTGTCAATTAAGTTTGATCTAGCTTATAAGTAGAAATTCATATATGACAGAAGACAGTCCTTCTGAACTTAGGAAACAAAGGCAACAACTGAACTAAAAGGAAACAGCCTTGAAAAGACAGTCCAAGTTTTCCTGATTTCACAGAAATGCTGAAAGGAAGATCATGTATCTGCAGTCAAGATTCTGCATAAAAACCTGGCATAAATCATTTTGGTCACATATTTATATAATGATTGAAAGTATTAAAAGCAGAAACCAAATTACTGGTGCATTGGTTGGGTCAAATCTCTAAAGAGAAAAGACAGAGGAAAATCACTGAGCAAAAGAATATATATTCAAATCATACATTAAAAAAATGGAAAACCAGCACTCAGCAGGCAGATCTCTGTGAGTTCCAGGTCAGCCTGGTTAACAGAGCAAGTTCCAGGACAGACTCCAAAATTACACAGAGAAACCCTGTTTCAAAAAACCAAAACAAACAAACAAACAAACACACACACACACACACACCTATTAACAGATGAACCATAGACACAATTGAGAAACATTTGTACATCACACCAAAATACTGCAATGCTAAAATGACTTGGTAGTATAGAACAAATATCAGAAGGGGCTTCTGCAGTCAAAAGAACTATATACAAACACAAAGACTTAATTTCTTTATTTGTCTACAAAAAAGAAAAGTTTTCAAGCAAAAAGGTTTACCTAAGATATGCCCTTAATATTACAGTGATTTTTTTTTCCTCACAATTTTATGCAGTTTGAAGCACTGCAAATTCTGTTGGCATTTATGAGTACCTGTGCCTGGTACCTAGAGAGGTCTGAAGAGGGCATCAAATCCTTGGGGGAGGGGGGACACAACACGGATGGACACGACACACAACTGAAATTATAGACAGCTGTAAGTTATCGTGCGGATGCAAGGAATTGAGCCTAAGTCCAATCCAGGCCCTTAATACCTTTATGACCAACATCAACTTTTGTTCTAAACGGTTTGGACTTACTCAATATTTCACAATTATGTCATTTGCTCTAATACCCTATGGAACTTGACTTCTAATTGAAGGCTGAAATCTATACTCAACATAAAATGAACTTTTAAAATTTCTCTTTAAAGTGCTTCATTTGTAGCTTTAGAGTCTGTCTATTCACAATTCCATGGAAAGTGTGAATTTTTTCCTATTTACTTGAAAATTATTAATTTAAAGCAATATTTGGATTATAAACCCAATCCAGGATGTTTTGATTCAATAAGTGTTGGTGGTATTCAAACAATCTGTATATGGTTCCAATACAAAAACAGCAGTTTTAGATGGCACTATTCTGAGGTTTTTATTTTGTGTGCTTGTCCCTAGAAACAATCATTTCAGAAGATATAAACAAGGTAGGTCCATAGGGAAAACTGTTATCTGCATTCAAGGAAGACGGACATAGAGTTACATGTTAGCACTGAGCGAGGTGGTACACACACCTTTAATCCTAGCACTTGGGAGAATTGGTCAAGTGGATCTGTGTGAGTTTGAGGCCAGCCTGATCTACAGAGCAAGTTCAAAAACAGCCAGTGCTACACAGAGAAACCAGGGGTGGGGGTGGGGTGGGGTGGGGGGTACATGTTAGTAACAGGCTATTATAAGTTTTGACTCTATTCCAAGGACTCTGCTATGAATAGCTACAGTACTAATGACAATGTTCACTAAAGTAAGTGTGCTACAAGGTTTTTGCTTTGTTTCTATTTTAACTTGTTAAGGGAATACAGTGAATAGATCATTAACAGGGCACCCCATCTCCCTACCCCCAACAATTAAAATAAGAAATACTTCAGGCTGAAGAAAATATTATTTTTGTAGGACCCTTAAAAACAGGGCTTTATGTATTACCCAAGAGACAGAAAGGTATGCCAGATACTGTTGCGGATCAAAGAAAATTATTTTCTTTTCATTGTTATAGTCTTCTAAGAGTATAATTTAAAATAAAAAGGACCATCTAAAGCAAGAGAAATGTAGGATGAAAGGATTTGGTTCTAGAAGGGCATGAGAGACATTCTTGACTAACGTGACCTAAGGTCCTCTCAAAGCCCTCAAACTCAGCTCATTTGGGTCTTTAAGTTACTGCTGTGACTGCTGCTAGGGCAGACTATTGTACATTATAGATCCTGACTAAGTTCAGTGAAAAAGGGATGATTCTCCTTTGAAGCTATGATCTCTTAAGTTTCTCTAACAAAAATGAAAGACAAAACACAGTGTTAGACTACTGATATTCCAATAATATTTCTAGCTATTCTTCCTGGCTCTTGGTTAACTTCAACTCAATATATTCTTAAATCAATTCTCACCTCCCAATCACAAAACCTGCTACTACTTTTCTTTCTTTCTTTCTTTCTTTCTTTCTTTCTTTCTTTCTTTCTTGTTTTGTTTTTTGAGTCAGGGCTTTTCTGCATAATAGCCTTGGCTGTCCTAGAACTCACTCTGTAAACCAAACTGCCCTTGAACTTAAGAGATCCAAATCTCTCCATACTAAGTAATGGGAATAAAGGTGTGTACCACAACCTTGTACTGTTACTTTATCACTTATTTTAGTCAACAAACTAAGTGTAGTAATTTAGATATAAAATATCCTCCCACTGGCTCATATGTTTGAATACTTGGCCCTCAGCAGGTAGAACTATTTGGGAAAGATGTGAAATCCTTATTGAGGTAGAATTTCTGCATCCTATCCACTCTCTGTCAATTCAGGTTTCTGCCCCCATGTCTTCTATTCCATGACAAATTGCAGCTCAAACTGTAACCCAAACAAAGCCTTTCTTCCTTTGAATTGCTATTCTATTACAACATCAAAATACGTAACTAATACAGGAACCGCTTCCCATATCAAGTAACTAGTTAGTAATCTCCTTAAATTCTGTAGCCTGAATTTGTGGCCACATCTACCCATCAATTCATCTTTAAGAACTTGTTTGTTGTGTTTTTTAACTCAGGTTTTTCCAATGTAATCATTCCATTTAGTCTCCTAAATCTTCACTGTTGCCGGTATTTTTTCAATGCAGAAGTGGCTCATTAAAATCTTAATAGCCTAGGAGTGTTAGTGCATGCCTTTAATCCCAGCACTTGCCAGAGGCAGGCGGATCTCTGAGTTCGAGGCCAGCCTGGTCTACAAAGTTCCAGGACAGCTAGGGCTACACTGAGAGAAACACTGTGTCAAAACATCAAAAAAAAAATCATAATCATCAACTGGACACAGTATGTATCCAATATGCACAGACAAATACCAGAATGAGGAAACCGGATTCTTCAGTTCTTTCCACTAAGTGAACAACTTGAAGCTATTCAAAATGAGGCTGATATGCAAAAACTTGTAATGTAAAAACGTTATTTTGGAACATAACCTTCTTTAAAGAGAAATTAAAACATACTGATTGCTTCATAAATTACAGT